GACTGCCGTTGCGGGGGTGTCTTTGTAACAGCTTGAGAGCAGACACGATTACTGGGTTGAGAACATCACGCTTGCTCATGGAGGAAGGGTGGTGAGGAATGGCTGAGTGCGGAACACACAAATATCTAAACAAAAGACAACTCACTAAGCAAAGCTTTGCCTTCTAGGAATTCCGAAGCAGGGGTTAAGGTGTCTCTTGGTTCCACTGCTGGCTGTCACTCAGTGGTAGAGATGGCAGCAGAAGTAGCAGGAAAGACTCTGGGCAACAAAACCATCTGCATCCGCTAGGACCAGACAGCCTGCAACGTCGAAGGCACGCTCAGGCACCGCATTTCCCCCAAAACCTTTCAGAAGCAATCCTATTTTATCCCATAGATTTGTCAACTTAAAAGGTATTCTTCAAGCACATAAAGGATTTCATATAGTTACCAAAATATCTTTGTTTTTATAAGAACAACAGTAGTATGTAGGGGGAAAATGCTAGAATTTTATGAAGACTAATGTCCTATTTTATAGAAAGATTTCTAAATGGCACAGAGTAACCAGAAAATTACTGAAAGAAGAGATCGAAAAGTATATAGAAGCCAACATATTCATATATAATTTAAGTACTAAAACAAATAACACATCTAAGTTTATGGTACGTGATACAGTTTTGATTTCTTAGCTATAGAACCAGATGAATTAATTTGCTTAAGTTACACCTTTTGTCTAAAAATGTGTTTCTAGTCTTTAGGTAGTCAAACCCTATCCCCCAAAGGGACAGTAGCTGCAAAAAAGAAAATCAATCTTTATTATCAAAAAGCAGCACTTAATCTTCTGTAATTTTTGAACAGATCCAAGTAGCTCATTCAGGTTCTGCTCTGTGTTGAACACAGTGCTCAGGGGCTTGAATGGCCACAGAAGTTACATTTTACAAAGATTAACATTTTGCCGAAACCGGTTTGGCTCAGTGGGTAGAGCGTCAGCCTGCGGACTGAAGGGTCCCAGGTTCGATTCCGGTCAAGGGCATGTACCTGGGTTGCGGGCACATCCCCAGTAGATGTGCAGGAGGCAGCTGAGCGTTGTTTCTAACTCTCTGTTTCTCTCCCTTCCTCTCTGTAAAAAATCAATAAAATATATTTAAAAAAAAAGATTAACATTTTATAAAAATATGAACTAATATGCTCAAATACCTAAATGACTTAAGAAAACAGAAGTACTAACTAAAGCGAAAGAAAGGGATTCAAGTTTACAAGTTTACCATATAAAGGTATGTTTGTTCCTAATATTTAAGTGGAAACTTAACTATTTAAAACACAGAACAAAAGTCTGGTTCTTGAATATTTACAACTGCACCGAAGATTTCTCACTTGAATTCCTGTGTCACCCTAAAAACAGTCCACCAAACCTCACAGAGACTTCCTATCCTTATTTCTGGTCCTTGGATCAATACGTTTCCCATTAAATCAGACTGGAGCTAAGAGTCTCTGGCAGGAATATGCTTCACTTGCACCAAGTAAGAATGTTGCTCTGAGCTAAGAGAACAGTACTTGGAGATTATGGCTTAAGTTTGCAGAAACACCACCCAAAGACCAACTATGACCTAGAATATGTCAGTCAGGTCCAAATGTAGTGTTTCAGATCTAAAAGTGTAGGAAATGGCCCGGCCAGTGTGGCTCAGTGATTGAGCATTGACCTGTGAACTAGGAGGTCAGGGTTCGATTCCTGATCAGGGCACAAACCCAGGTTGTGGACTCAATCCCCAAGGGGGCGTGCAGAAAATAGCCGATCAATGATTCTCTTTCTCATCACTGATGTTTCTCTCTCTCCCTCCTACTCCCTCTCCCTTCCTCTCTCTGAAATTAATTAAAAATATATATCAACACTAATAAAAGAGAAACATGGTAATTGGCGTACGACCGCTACCCTTTTCATTGGCTAATCAGCGAGATATGCAAATTAACTGTCAGCCAAGATGGCGGCCGGCAGCCAGGCAGCTTGAAACTAACATGAGGCTTGCTTGCCTCAGTGA